AACGTCGCTGGACCATACAACGGGAAACCTGCTTCCGGCCCCGCTGCGACAATAGCTGCATCTTTACCATCCGTAGCCGATCTCCGCACAGATCTTTGCTGGTGAACTGGACGCTCAAATCTCTGTGACTGCATGGGAATTCCAGGGCAAGGGAGCCCAGTAAATTGAGTCGCTTTCATTACATGAAAGCAAACCCCAGCTTTGTTCCAGCAGAGACACATGCATGTGCGACCTGTTGCATCTACGATCCATCCACCGGTTGGCATGTTTTCCCACATGATCCTTGCGTAGTTTTAGATTCGTACGTGCACGCTGACTTAGGTAGTACACAGTCCTCAAATGTACTTCTCCGGCCCACTTCAAAATGACGATTTCAGTTTTGGGCAAAAAACTCTTTAACAAGAGCTAGCTGGTAGACACATGGCACACCACGTCATAGCCCGAAGTACGACGCACAGGAACATATTTTTTAGGTTGTAAGAATGGTAAATATGCGCGTGCACGCTGCGATCAAAACCGCCGCGTTTGGAAAGGCATTAGGTTTTTTGTCGCAATTCACTCAAAAATTAGCGATATTACACCATACTTTTAGAGCGGCTAAACCGGGCAATTAACAACAGCTGGACGCAGTTTCAGACGCAGGGGCTTACTGGAAGCACCGCGAATTAGATGTGTTTGGGGCGAGGTTTTTTCGGAAAGTCGAGAGCATTTGTGTAAACCAACTATTTATATTGACCAATCAGTGATTGCCTAAAAATTATAATGATAATTACGAGCAACAAAAGGTTCAATTAACTTCAAATTTACGCATACAGCTGACTATATCCTTTCGTAACCGCATCGGTGTCGACTACAACCGACATTGGCATTCGCGCATTACGTCCAATATGTTTACTAACGCGCGGAAGCTTGAAATCGTTGCCCCCACCACTAATCATAATAGACTCCATCACTTTCTGCAAAGTGATAAAACACTTGTCAAGGGTTTGCCACCTGAGCTCGTCGAAAGCTTCCTCAACCGCCGTAATAAGGCTATCAGAGTCGTAGACAGATTTTCGATACTGTAGAGCTTGAATAGACGAGAAGTATCCCAAATCAAGTACATTTAGGTCGGGTGACCGAGGCGGCTGGCAGCGCATCTTTATCTTCCATCCATCAACCATTCCAGCATGTTCTAGTTGAGCATCACCTTCTAAAACATGAGGCCCTGCATTGTCCTGCTGGACGACCACGGTCGAGCCTCTGCGAACTAAGAACAAAAAAAAATAATTGAGTTACAGCAATAAAAAATAACACTTAAAAAAAATACCTGGCAGCTTGGATCGAATTGCTGGAAATACTTTTTCGACAAGTAGTTCGCGGTAAAGAGCTCGTGTCATAGACACACTCTTCGTAATTAGCGTACCTTTAGGACGATTAACGGAGCTACGAACCGCCTCGATCTTTTTAACAATAGGCCAAATGCCAATCTTACCATCAAAGTACTGTTTCTTGTGAAAGTCGTAGCGAGGTTGTGCGACAGCAGCTAAGAACATGATTTTACCTATGTATCTCTTGTTTGCACAGGATCGATAAGGCAGCTGCTCATTGGCTGTCAGGTAATATCTTGTGGCCCCTTTGTAGAGGTTAAACCACTTTTCATCTACATGCACAGTATCGTACATGTGATGCATGCGGTACATTCGGGCACCTGAGTCAAAACAATTTAGACAAGATAATTAATGGCTATAACAATTAAAAAGGTTGAGTAATAATAACTTTCGAGATGTTACAGTACCTAATGCCATCTCGACATGCGATAAAACCCATTGTAGTCGTTTTGTCTTGTGAGCATCAGTCAGAGTAGGTTTAACACGAGAAGATGCGCGACGTAGAGTCCCATCAGCAAGATACCGCTGTAGCGTAGTGCGTGGTATACCAGATGCAGCCGCCAGTGCTCGCTGGGTTTGCCTCTGGCAAAGCGGCACCCCTTGGACGATCTCGATAACTTCTTGCACCGACAGGCGCCTTCCGCGCTTGGGCTGCACTCGCTTCTGGGCGGATATAAATCCGACCTTTTGGCGCGACTTCCAGATCTTCTTGACGCTGTTGCGACACATATCAAAAGCCTCCATAGCTGCACAAACTGCTCCACGGAGCAATTTACCGTTAGCGCTCCGTTCAGCAAGGAACACAACCACATTGAGACGAGTTTCAGGCGTAATGTCTTGTTTTCCAGGTGTTCTGGGCATCGTGCTAAAACCCAAAATGCGGGGTTGACTTTAGTCTAGGCCAACCATAATTTTAGTGGCCCGCAGCCATGCAAAACCAAAGTCTTTTTTATCCAATTGAAGTAGATTATTCAGTTATGTGCGATCAATAAAAAACCCCAATCATCATTTTGAAACGGGCCGGAGAAGTACTGTCCTGGGAAGAACCGGCGGGCTTCGGAGCCACACGAACGAGCACCGAATCTTGTACACGGTGTACCACTTCTGCATCCCACACCTTTTTTTTGTCGGTCCTTCGATACGCAGCAAGCAATCTTTTCGACACAATTGCTCTATCGACAAAAGTCATCCTCGATGATACATGCGCAATACGTGATAAATCCAAGCGAACAACGAGTTCGGCAGGATTTGCACGCTGACTGTCATTTACAAGTTTTAATGTTTTGTGATATTGCTCCAACGGGTTGTTGGTCGTAGCATACCCTGTAGGTGTGTGGTAAACTTGCCAACGCGAAAAACGAGCCCCCGTAATCCATTGAGAAATAATGTGGTTCGAAACACGCCGAAAACGAGGACTTAGCTCACCAGCGCCGCGCCATGATCTCAGAACAAATTCTCTCTTTCGAATGTACTGTTGTTCATCGCGTGAAAAGTGCAAATCATATAGATTTCTGAAAATCATCTTTACCGAAATCAAATCCAGCTTTGCATCATGAGCATGTTTAAACACATTCTGTGTTACGTGGAACCAACACATCAAAATGGTGGTTCCAGGTAACTCTGCAGTGCAGGCGTTTTGTTGGGCCTTGTCTGCGTTCATCATGACAAAGTCAGGCGAGAATGGCACCCCAAATTCCTTCAATATGACACTTTTTAAACAGGAAAGGTACCAAACAATATCCTCTTTGCGCCTTTGAGATGTGCACCAGTACACAATTGGCAAGAAGGCTCCACTGCGATCTGAAATGCCCAATACAGAAACAGGGTACTTCTGCTTCACACAGCTGTGTGTTGTGTCCATGTGCAGTAGCGTAGTTAGAGACGGGTCCTGCTGCACTTCAACATAACGCTCTAAAAGCCGCTTGCACGTCACACCAATGCGAAATGGGTTGCCTTGAGACCCCGTGCCGAGAGAAGGCTCCACAACGCCATCCACAACTTTTGTGTCGCACAATATTAGCAATGCATCTGGGTCTGTTTGCCAAGAATGTGAACGTTCGCTGCCGTACATTCGCTGACGGCAAATCTCCAGCACGGGGTCCATACTATCCGGTCGGTTTTTACGCCGCCATCCTTTCTGATAGTTTTGGACCTGTGCAAGCTGCGAGGTAGGTCCGCCGATACGCCCATCCTTAACCTCACGGCACAAGAATGCGTACAGTGCCTGCGCTACCATAGACGGAGAGTCACTTAGCTTGACATCTAGATAGGACTTCATCTCGGCGGTTAGCTTAGATGCAATGGGGGATGGTGAAGCATCGTCGGCCATCGTATGATCCCCTTGCTCGAATATAATTTTTCCGTCACTTTCTTGACACTCCAGGATCTTATAGCGACAAGTGCATGTTTGTGTTGTAGCTTTGCAGCGTTGTGATTTGCATTTAGTTCCGATATACCGCATTTCATGCCATGTTACAGCCAGCTCATCTTCGTAGCGCTCAACGTGATCAATTGTACAGTGGTGTAGCTCACTTGTTGGCCGTGAAAAGCTCGGCAATCCTGCCAGAAAGTCATCAAAAGGGACAGGATCACCAGATTTCCACACTTCATGCCACGGAAGACGTCCTGTACGGCCGCCGTGATCATTCTCCATTGTATCGATGCTCCACTCACAATGCTGTTAGTTTTTAATTTTCTTAGATGTTGTGAAGCTAAGCTCTTAACTATTTTAGTAGTAGTGGCTAACGATATCTATTTGTGGAGAGAAAATATTTTTGCGAAACGACACTTATTTTTGGTGTGGTGTACTGCTCTTTCTTTTGGTGACCTTTTCTGCGTCTGTGGCGCTCCTCATCCTATTTTTTGTGATCGTTAAAAAAAAAAGTGCTTTGGATGGCTCTCGAAGACGGAGAAGAAACTTGTGAGCGTCAGGCTGCTGTTTGGGCGAAACTTCATCACCCAAACGTACGCAAATTCTTCGGCGCGTGTCATGTCGGAACACCGTTCATGATCCACGAAGCGTATAGTGAATTGCCACTATCGAAACAGAAAATACCGCGGATAAGGAGAAAAGGACAGACACGACGTGAGCGTAATACGGACAAGAAGTTGAGTAAAACTGAGGAAAATGCACTTAGAAAAGCGACTCAGACGTGGAGATATATACTTGGCTGCGCTTTAGGGCTTCAGTATGTCCACGATCGGGGCCTTGTGCACGAACAGTTGACTATAGACAACTAACTCTACTCACAGGCATCGCAGAAGGGAGTTTTAAGTGGGATGAACTTAGTCCGTCGACGTCAAATTGGGAGCTTAGACTCCGATACGTGTCCATCGGTAGCGTCATATATTTTTGCGTTTGGAATTGTAATTTTTAAGATTCTAATCAAGGACAGATTGGCTGAAAACTCTCAACCGCGCAACAATTTCCCAGACATGCGACCGAACTTTATCAACCAGACTGAGTGGGATCTGCTTGTACACATGTGTACAGCTGTTGCTGATAGAATCGGTATGGTGGACATTGTACATCAACTTACAATGCTGGCAAGGTTCTCAGCTACCAAGCAGCCAAGTGACACTTCAGCTACTATTGAAGATGTGAATGGGTACACAATTCAGACGTTGGGGATGACCCTCGATGCAACGTTGCAAGAGATCGACCAGCTTTGTAGTGAGCCGCACTACGACAGCTTCGAGAATGTGAATCGCCCTGTGTACGACCGTATAATGGACGTGTATCAACAACTTCGAGACAGCTCAGGCCCAGTGTCTATGGATCTATTAGAGAGCTTTAGTCTCATCGTGCTGCGATTCTTTGACATGCTTGACCGACGCGTTTTAGGCGGCACAAGTGTCGTGGCCAGTATCTGCGCTTCAGGCACAGTCGCAGGCAGGAATTACAGTTTCCATCACGACATTGACGCGTTGCTGAGAACTTCTTCACTGCAGACAGCACCTGTTCACAACTGGCAAGAAACGTGGAAAGAGACTCGACATCGTCAAAGTAATACACTAAAGTCATATTTAGAGGAACCCGAGCTTTTCCTAACGCAAATATCAACCGAGAAGGATCGATCCGAAGCGGTAGCGATGATGCAATTTGCTGCGACTGGACTGGCGGGTGTTGAGGACACTGAAGATCTTCCGTTGTGGTTCATTCCTCCGTATCAAGTTCAGCTAGGCAAACACATTGCGGATGGCTCTTTCGGAGCAGTTTACGAAGGCGAATGGCTCGATACGGATGTGGTAGTAAAGCAGGTTCTTTTAGCCTCGTCTGATGAGAACGGGGAGCAATTTCGACACGAAGCGGACTTGTGGTTCTCGCTGAACCATCCGAATTTAATTAAACTTTACGGCGCTTGTCACCAAGGTCGACCGTTTTTTGTATGCGAGCCAGCGAGTCGAGGGACTCTGGCGTCGTATCTTAAAGACAAGGATCGACGCTTGATCTGGTTTGCCATCAGTGATGTTGCGCTGGGCTTGCAACATCTCCACGACCACGGAATTATTCACGGTGATCTGAAAGGAAATAACATTTTGGTGTGTGATAGTAGCGAGGGAATATCAACAGCAAAGCTCGCGGATTTTGGCTTAAGTATCGCTACAAACCAGGTGGGAACTCCAGCTAACGATGAATATGATACATTGGGGGCGTTTCGATGGAAGGCGCCGGAATGTTTGCTTGGAGGTCGACCAACATTCGCGTCGGATATTTATTCACTGGGTATGTGTATTGTTGAGGCAATCACGGGGCAGTATCCATGGGGGGATACTTTACCAGACTCGGTGGTAGTACGCAATGTGATTGAAAACAAGTCTCTCCCGTCGCGTCCTGAGTGCATGAACGACCTAGAGTGGCAGTTATAATAGTAACTCGAATGTGTCGATACGAACCTCATTGCCGTATTCCCATTGGAGCGGTGATCAATTGTGCGCTCAATCTTACAGCTAAAACAAAATCTTAATCAAACGTTTGTTACACTGAAACGTAATTTTGAATTTTTAATGTTGACGGGTTTATAATAGCTTTGAACAAGCGGTTGTCTAAGCAATGCCTAATTGTCGAGTTAGTTTTGTGGAGGGCAAGCACCGTTGGAGACCAGGGCAATATTCTTGTCTGGATTCTTGCAGCTGGCGACGCCCAGGTAGCACGAGTTGGTGTGCGTGACTCCGTCCGTACCGCACACACGCTCGTTCACATCAGGGCAAACCTGGTCACAGCTTGAGGTACCTCTACCGATTGTATTCGCGCTTACCTTCTTTAGGTATTCCTCCATGGCCTTTTTTGCCTCTTCATATCCAGGCATGCCGGGCATAAGCTCAATCCCGGGAGCTTCGTGGTAAGTGGTGTAGTTAGGGCTCGCGGTGTTCCAGTGAAATGTAGTGTACTCGCTGTTGCTGCCCGATCCCGATAGGCCCTATCATAGGAATCCTTGAGCTTCCTCCGCAGCCCTGGCTACCTTGGGGATTCGACCGGTGAGACGGCGCAGACACAACTGATCGCGACGGCGGTAACGACGAAAAGTTTCATCTTTCGAGCTGGTTCGGAGAGTACCGGTCGGTGTGAAGGGATGTTTCTCGCAAATTTGAGAATGAAGCAGGTTTAGAGCTCCAATTTTAAACTTAATGCATTAGATCTGCCCGATTACATGTATTCTTGGTGCGCATCAACTTCTCCTTGATCATTACTATCCACAGGACATTTGACTTAGGTAATCCGATACAGTATAGTTATTAACTGCTGAATTAATGCTGAACTAGATAGTGTTGACGTTGATTTTGAAGATGATGCACTCTCGTGCATAAGTAAAATATGTAGTGGAGAGGATTTGAGAAACTACTATGCGCGCGGTGTGGAGCACAGCAAAACTGAAACTCGCAGAATGACATGCATGTTCTAATTGTAGTGCCGATTTATCTACAATACGCTTTTTAGACGCTAGCTGGAGTAGCGGTAGTTTTTTTTAACATACAGGTCGAGCCTAAGTTAGGTCGAAGAGTCGCCCAGATTTTAATTTTTCCCAGATTTTAATTCATTTGCACCGTATAGACAATCTTAAAAGTGGTAGGAAAAGCACATAAAGAAAATAAAGTTTCTTCGAGAAAAAAATGAGAAATATCTTGAAAACAAGGAGCACGCAGAATCCGCTGGATGGTAAAATTTCGACTCCACTGGAATTGGTAGCTGCGGAAACCATTGGCACTCTTTATTTTATACTACGTAGTAAATACCGTTGTTTTCACGGTATCTTTACTGTGTTGACGACTCTGAAAAGCATTTTTTTTTGCGTGTGCAAACAGGATTGATTGACATTCCAGAAAATCGGATAAAACGGATACTCGTTGAGTTAGTTCTGGGTAGACGGCGTAGTCTAATTAGGGCACGATCCTTCGGAAGCCTGGGCAATGTGCTTGTCCGGGTTCTTGCAGCTGGCAATGCCTAGGAAACACGAGTTGCTGTACGTGTTGCCGTCCGAGCCACATACAGGCGTGTACACGTCAGGGCAAGCATCGGGGCAGTTGGAAACACCACTACCGCTGGCACTAGTAGAGGCGCTTTGCTGGTGGGTAAACTCTTTCCAGGCCTTGTTGAACTGAGCGTTTTGACCGTAACCAGGCATGCCAGGGAGCATTGCAGGGCCAAGACCCTCGTACATCGCAGGGTTGAGTGTTGGGGTCGCAGTCTTTGTAGTGTCGAGCGTGGTAGTAGTACCCGAATCCTTCGAAGCAAAGTCAGTCATAGCCTTCTTCACATTGGGGCCAGCAGGAGTCTGAGGGCCAAGTCCCTCAAGATACTTGGGGTCTTGGGTCGGCAGCGTGCGAGGATCAATAGTGTAATAGTTGCTGCCGCTGGAGGATTCATGCGAGCCTGCAAGTTGTTCCATAGCCTTCTTAAGCTTCGGGTTGTCACCGGCTGGGGTCTGGGGGCCAAGTCCTTCAAGGTATTTGGGGTCCTGGGTCGGGAAAGTCTTGGGGTCAATAGTAAGGGTGTCAGTCGATTCAGCAGCCTCCAGCTTGCGGTTCTTGCCGTTGTTAGATCCACCGTCTTGCTTCTGGAATTCCTCCCAGGCCTTGTTGGCGGCCTCGTTCTTACCATAACCTGGCATGCCTGGTAGCACGACCGGTCCCGGGCCAAAGCCGAAGCTAGGGTCGTACTTAGGAAGATCACGAGGGTTAATGGTGTAGTAGTTGCTGCCGCTAGAAGCATCATGCGAGCCCTCAAGCGATTCCATGGCCTTTTTAAGCTTCGGGTTGTCCCCAGCAGGCGTCTGAGGGCCAAGACCTTCAAGATACTTGGGGTCTTGGACCGGAAGAGTGTTGGGGTCGATTTGAAGAGTGTTGGTCGAGCTCTCCTTAGGGAGGTCCTTGACTGGCATCTGAGGGCCGAGACCCTCCAGGTAAGCAGGGTTTTGAGTTGGCATCGTACGGGGGTCGATGGTGTAGTAGTTGCCGCTACCAGAAGCCGAGTGCGAGCCAGCCAGCTGCTCCATTGCCTTCTTCATCTTGGGGTCGTTACCGGCGGGGACAACGGGACCAATACCGATAATTGAAGCAGGGTCCACGTGAGTGAGCGTCTTGGGGTCTACGGTGATGGTAGACTCGGCAGAGACTCCTGCGACGGCGATGGCGGCAAGAACAATTCCAGCGGTGAACTTCATCGTCGGGGAGATTGGGTGAGTGTACTTGTCCTTGTAAAATTAAAAGTGAGGCGATAGTGTAGCGCTGTCACAGTAAAACGAGCGTTAGGACTGTAAACACAAGCACGTCCTATCCGGTTTATCAATAAATATCCTTGAGATTGTGATGATTGTGGGCGGGAGAAGTTGATGCACGCTCTCGAAGAATAGCGTGGAACTCTCGCCTCATGGTTTCTAAGAGCTCGAACAGAAAATAAGAGGGTGCCGCTAAAGGTTACACTCGAGCAGAGATTGATTGGTGTCCTTACACCAACTATTATTAATATATGTACATGTACATGTACATGTGATCGATGCTGTGCGGTGCGCGTGTATCCAATTTAGAAACACATCATCTGCTTTTCACCTTGTCGCAAGTTGCGACTTGGCAAAGGCGACAAACGACAGCCTGGCTTACGGCTGTAATGTACGCGCGTTTACCAACACCACTTGCTTGGCAAATCGAACGATAACATTGAGCCGGGACGGTCTCATCGTTTTATTGAGAATTTCTTAGTTAATATGCATAATAGTAACGTAGGCTCTATGCATTTGACCAGGTTTGCAACCTGCTTGAAAAGTGTGATGGGCAGAAATGCAAGTCGTGGGAAAAGTGGCTTTTTCTTGCAAATCGCCAAATGCCGTAGCCTAAAATTAAAAATGGAGTGTCTCCACACAGCCTTAAATTAGATCTCACAAGAACGGGCCATTTGCACGATGGTTGGTAAAACTGGTAACTTGGCCGGGAAATGGTGTACATGTACATGTATCTGTCCTTTGCCCTTAAGTCACTTAATATAAAGCTAATCTGCCTCAAAACATACCGGTATAAGTCATTATTTAGGTAATTCCGGTGATACTTGTACCTTTAGCCTTGGTTTCTTAGAAGCG